GGCCTTCCGGTGAGTTGGTGCGCAGGAGTGAGGTCATCGTACAATTAACACAGCTGTGCTGATTTAGACAGATAAAGCTCGAGATGGTTTGGTAGAGCAGCCTCGTACGGAGGCCCAGGCGCCTGGACCGGTCTTCGACACCCCCTGTTTGACGCTCCAGCATCCACCCGGCGCACCCCACGCTCGCGTCGGAAGATGTGCGGGGTATCGCGCGGGGAGTTAGACTGTGCAGGTGCGAGGGCATCGCGACAGGAACATTGCAGCCTCAGGGCACAGATCATTCATGGGTGCCATCCGGCAGGGGCATGGAGCGGACGAGCGGTCGCGAATCGATGTCGAAGGCGTGTCTCTAATCGGCCTGCGGCGTGGCAGGAGCGATACTGGGGCGAACAGACATGACAGGCGTGCCCGATGGGCGCCGTGCGGATATATGTTGTGGCCAGATCGCTCGCGGCCGCACTGCAAACACGCCGGACGGGCACGAGTGGCGCGCGGACTCGGAACCCGCCTGCATGCTCGCGGTCCGTCTATAAAACCTGCATTCCACGCCCTCGCGCCGCGCATCGTCCATGTAACGCCTCCCATGCCGCACTTCACCCTCCCTAGAACCCACTCCTCCCCGGCCAAGCCCCCGCCGCCGACGCCGGGCGCGTCGGGCCCAGCGCCCGCAAGCCCGCCCAAAGGCGTCAAGCGGATCGTATCGGGCCTCAAGCGCCGGATCAGCCACACCTTCCTTCGCGGTCACCGCCACCACGCGAGCACCGACGCTCTCGACGTTTCCCACTCCTCTCTCGACGACCACGAACCCCTTCTTTCCCTCTGCGACCAGCCGACCCCCATTTCCATCTCTGTTTCTCCTCACCATGGTCCCAGCGTCGACACGCTCACGCGCGGCGTCGCCGATGGCGGCCTCGGCAAGCATGTCGCTGATTGCTCAGACTCGTCCGACGCGACTTCGGACTACAGCGCCGCGTCGTCGTTCCGGGGACGGGGGCACCGCACGGCATCATCGTGCTCAGGTTCGTTCTCATACACCTCGCCTGGAGGTCTGCAGGACGTAACGGGCGACGCAGCGCCTCTCCCAGAGATCGCGGAAAGTCCGTCTAGCCCAGAGCAGACCGAGGCACCTGCCCCACCGGAAAGCTCCGACTCTGCAGCTCTCGACATCCCCGCAACGGTCGACGCCCTAGCGCTTGCGCTGTCTACTCCCTTGCCCGAAGATACCGAGAGCGAGCTCGGTGCGGAGGTGGAGGCGGAGGCGGAGACCGCTTCGGCCATGAGCTTGGAGCTGCCGGCGGTCGACTCAGTCGAAGACAAGCGTAGCATCGAGAGTCTCTACTCTCGCTTGTCTCCTGAGTACGTCGGCGCACCCTTCCCCGAAGAAGTTTCTTCGGAGTTCACGAGAGAGAGGACGTTCTCGTTGGCATCCGTCGAGTCCCTGACGGCCCCTCTCGAGACCCTCGTCCTATCAGAGGACGTGTCTCCTTCGGCCGCGCCGGTCGATTCTCAGTCGGATGCCGCCTCCACCCATCTACCCCTCCCCGTCAGCACGTCAGCCGACGTGCCCCTTCCATCTGCGGAACTCGATGTCCTCGAAGAGCCCCGGCAACGCAAGATATCTATGCTCTCAATAGAGTCCCTCACGGCACCTGTCGAAATACTCGTCCTACCCGACGACGCAACCTCACCCCGTACATCACCGGATACAGAGCCGGAGACCTCTCCCTTTGATGTGTCACTGTCAATACCGCTCCCTCCATCCACTCCCGACTCTCCCTCGATACTTCCCGTTGAATCGCAGCAGCTGCCAGCCCCCGAAGACGAGTTTTCGAGTATTCTTGGCCCACAGCCGACAGAGACGGCCGAGCTACCGTCTGCGCAGTCTCCAGCCGGTCCTACCGCGCCCGCAGGCGGCGATGACGCTCCAGTCTCCTTCTCCTGGGTGCTGGAATATTTCCCGACGGAGTCCGCACCGAGCGAGCCGGAGGAGTCCGCACAGGACGAGCTAGACGTAGCTCTCGGTGACGCTGTCCTCCCTGTTGTCGAGCGATCCTCCATCCCTTCCGAACCTCTCCACATCGCTCCTCTCCCTTCCTCACCAGACCCAACGCATTCTGCGCCTCCGACACCACCACTGGCCGCGAGCGACGAATACGGGAGCGAGAGCGAGGAGGATGAGGATTTCGAGTTCGACCCGCACGGGCTCACGATGGCGATGCCAATGTTGTTCCTTCCGTCCCCGAAAGTGCGCTATCCGGCCTTCTCCTCGTTGACTTGGTGGCTACCCCGTGGCATGGTGTAAATTATCCCATCTTGTAGTGATATACGGACCGTACTTAAGTCGATCAAATGTATATTAGTTGTAATTTACGCTCACAGGCCGCTCTAAGGGAACGTATGTAGCAAGGTGAGTCGCGCTATCAACGAATAGGCCGTGCGTGCGCACTGACGGAGCGGATGCTCAGTACGCAGCCTTCGTTGATCACGACGAATGAATGCATATCGCGCTCGCAGTGACGTTGACTACGGACGAGAACTGATGCCTTCAACATCTTGCTCAGGAACTGCGCACGCCCAGCATCTGTACATGTATGTGCACAAGCTGCGTGTCTTCCGTACCCCGTATGCATTAGTCAGGAACGCTCTCGGCAGCATTTGGTTCGTACTGCGCCGCGGCGCGAAGCTGATTCCGGCCGTACATTTAACGGTCCCGCGGTGCTCCTGCATATCCCAGTACTTACCACGACCACCGCCATGGCGGCGAACAGGATCTCTCTGCCCGCATCCGACGTGCCCGTGAAGTCCGTGACGATATTCCAGCCGTCGACCGCAGAAGTGACGCGTGTGCTCACCGTCGCGCTCAAGGCGCGTACACCTCCTGCTTATCCCGTGCCATCTCTCTCTCTGCCGACACTGATCGCGTACCCAGAGCGGCACCAACATCGTCGAGATCGCCGGCATATCCGACCGCGTCGAGCCCGGCTCCCCCAGGATCTACTACGGCCCCCCAGCATACGCCCCCAGATCCGAGTCCGAGTCCATCCGCGTGCTCGACGTCGTCTGCCGCCGCCCCGCGCCCGGCTCGGACTCGAAGCCCAATCCACCCGCGGACGCGAAGGCCGCAGCGCTCCTCGCGCAGAGCCTCGCGCTGCAGTCCCGGTGGATCGTGTGCCAGGAGGAGATGGGGCTGCTCGACAGCGCCGTGCGCCTGGCCACGACCCCGGGGAACGGCGTCGCAGCGGACCACGCGGGGCTGCTGGCGTTCGTCGAGGCGTTCGCGCAGAAGAAGCTGGCGGCGCACGTTGTTGTGCGGGAGGTCGATGCGCGGATCGCGGAGGTCGAGGAGGAGCTGCGGGTGGTGCGGGGTGCGCGTAAGGGTGAGGCGCGGACCGTGGTCGCTGCGAGTGTTTTTGCGGAGAAGGAGGGCATGGTAGAGTTGCGGTTGACGTACTGTGAGTACTTATATAAGAGCGGCGATTGCCAGTGGGTAGAAGAGCTTGAGCTGATGTGTTCGTTGTAGTGGTCAGTGGGGTCCACTGGACGCCATGTTACGACCTGCACGTTACGATGCCCGACGGACAGCCGTCCACGGACGTGTCCCTGCGCTGCTGTGCCACGGTGTCCCAGAGCACCGGCGAGGACTGGAACGACACGACGCTCACACTCAGCACCGCGACCGTGCAGACCACCCAGAACCCGCTGTTCGTCCCTTCCATCACCCCACTCAGAATCAGGCCACGCAATCCTCGCACGGCGCCTCGACGTCGTCCCCCGCCCCCGCCTCCTCCGTCCTCTCATCTGGGGAACCCGCGTGAGCCCCTTCCGCCGCCCCCTCCGCCTTGCGGCGGATACCCGAGTGAGCCAGTTGTGTCCCGCCCACCGTCGATGACAACGGTGCCAGCACCAGCACCGCCTCCCGCTCTGACAGTCCTGGCACAACAGGCATCCACTCCTACAGCCTGGGAGGTATCCGACTGGGGCGACTCGGAGAGCGAGAGCGGCCCAATACTGGTCGAGCCGCCGGTACCCCAGCCGGCGCCCGTCGAGGCCGCCCCAACGCGCAATGCGTTGTCGGTCGCGTACAGCGTGCCAGGCGCGCTCTCGCTCCCGAGCGACGGGCAAGAGCACAGGGTGACGTTCGCGACGCTGAACTTCACAGCGGAACTGCACCACGAGTGCGTGCCGCGGAAGAGCGAGGCGGCGTTCATCGTAGCGACGGTGAAGAACACGAGCGCACGTTCTCTACTCGCGGGGCCCGTGAGCGTGTTCGTGAACGAGAGCTTCGTCTCGCAGACGACGATACAGGTGCGCTCGCCGGCTGTACATCATAACCATCCACTGACCTCGGGACTTGCAGCGCATTGCAGTTAAGGAGAGCTTCCGGTGCGTGCTCGGGGTGGACACCCTGCTGGAGGTGGCCTACCGGCAATACTCAACGACGGAGCGCCAGCCGCAACTCTCCTCGTCGCCGCGCAAGGTGATGGCGCGGACGACGACGGCGACGATCGCGAACCAGCACACGCACGCTGTAGCGGGGCTCGTTGTGCGCGACGCCATCCCGCTTCGCAATGAGGCGGGGGAGGTTGCAGTCACCGTCCGCAAACCTGCGGGGCTCGCACAGGCAGCAGACGGCTCGGAGGTTTCGGTGAAGATTGGTGAGGAGGAGGGCGTGGCGGCGAAGGTGCACTGGATGAAGGGCGTTGACGGGAAGGGCAGCGAGAAGGAAGGGCTGTATGAGTGGGAGTGTGCTATACCAGCCGGGAAGACGGTTACGCTCGAGGCGCAGTGGGACGTGGGTGCCGAGAGCGATGAGGAGTGGTATGAAGGTCCCTAGCATTGCGGGCCCCCAGAGCTAGACCACTCTATGTATGAGCTACAAACCAAGCATATGCCATACGTCGGACAAGGAAAATATTGAATCGATTCTCGGCATCAATGTGCACGACTATGCACTTCGACCGCCGACCTTGGTGTCGACATGAACGTGGAAAAAATGTACACTCTCTGTCGGGGAGTCGAACCCCGCTTTCGCGCGACCCTCAGTAAATGACAGGCGCGTGTACTAACCGATATACTAACAGAGATGTATGCACGGAACCAAAACATACATATCGTTGCGCGAAGGGGCATGTAAGGTGACACGGCAAATACCGCAAGATGTCATAGCGCCCGAAAGCCAGTGAGAGTTGCAAGATCGTGAAGGAAACTATAACTGTCGACCACAATCTCTTAGTCCTGCCAGTGCGCACGCCTTCGCTTGTCCACGACCACCATCTTGCCTGTGACTGCGGCTCATATACGCCTTTTCTCGCCATTGGACATCCAGGACCAAGCTCTCTAGTTCTCCCCGTACGTCTCCAATGGACTCGCAGCAACTCTCGGATACCCAGGGCGCCGAGCCTCGCACGGCAGCCCTCGACTCACAACTGACCGCGTCGATGGAGCTCCCTCGTACAGAGCCGCTCTTCAGCCCACCTGCGCCCGTCGGCGAGCTAGATGTTCCGGACCCCTTCTTGAAGGAACCAGTAGACTCCGAGGAAGAATCCCTGTCCGCAGAGGAGGGCATCTCTCCGTCTGCGACGCCTGCCGTAGAGGAGGTTACCCTTGCTGCGACCGAACCTGCCACCCCTTCGTTGCCTCGCTCGCCAAATATTAACAAGTCAGTGCCGCCGACCCCGCTACCTCCAGCGAGTGACGATGATGATGAGGACGAAGACGAGGCACCCGAGTTCTACATGCCTGGTCTGACGCTGCCGACCATGTTCCTGCCGATACCCAACGTACGCTACCCAGTCTTTACGTGACGCGTTGGCTATCTAAGAATTTGATACCTTATTATATGTACATTAGACAGACCCACTAAGCACACTGTTGACCAAATACGTTCCTGCTGAGAAGCGACCCCCGCGAGACTTGACAGGAGATTACTCCCGTGCAGGAGGGGAACTCCATCCACTGATAGTAAGTGCGCGAGCGAAACGCGGCGGGCACACAACCTCACAGGAGCGACGTGCAGATGACGAACAGCTGGAGGGCCGTCGCGCGCCAGGCGCGAGACCGCATCGTTGAAGCAGACCCAGAAGAAGTGCCGTACATCCTCTCCGTGAGTGCGAACCGCGTACCCATCCCCCGCGCGGTCTGACTTGAGGACGCCCGGTCGCCGTAGCTGTGGTACCTCCGCCTCTCCTCCCTCGCGCGCATGCGCCTCTTCAACCAGACCTCGGCCGAGTGCACGAACCTCTTCGCGGTTTTGCACGCGGTCGAGCCCCGCGAGACCCGCACATACCTCTTCGACCGCGTGCTCCCGTTCGAGCTCGAGGTCCTCTATGCGAAGCTCAAGTACTGGGCGGGCGACCACGTCGGCTATCTCGACGCGCTCACCGCGCTCCTCCGCCGCTGCAAGGCGAAGGCGCGTGCCGCCAAACACGACCAGGCCGCCGCCGGGATGTGGGTGGAGCGCGGTACGCGTGTCGTCCTCATCATCGCGTCGCAGCTTGTTGAGATGCGGGTGCGCCATTTTGGTCTTTTCTACATGCTTTGAAACCGCGTTCTCACATATTTTTGCGCGGTGGCAGGACTACACCGCGGCAGCGAGGCTCCTCGAGCCGCTCTGCATGCAGCCCGGGGGTGTGTCCTGCCCCGCGCTCCGCTCGGCGGTAGCCCGCATATATTTGCAGGGCGGATACGTCGCGATGGCGGCGAAGCACCTCGCTGCAGTCGCGGAAGACCCCACGGCGGACCCGGTGCAGAAAGGCATGAACGCCGCGCTGTTTGCGTCTGCCGAGGGCGACTGGTCCCGCGCGACCGTCGAGCTTCAACGCATCATCGCGGCGGACCCGGAGAACTTCGTGGCCGTGAACAACTTGGCTGTTGCGCTGCTCAACCAGGGGCGGCTGCAGGAGGTAAGTGGGCGCGATGCGGCGCTAGCATCACAAGGCTCATCGTGCATTGCGGGACAGGCGATCAAGTTGCTCGAAGACGCGCTCCGCACGTCCCCCGCGACGATTGTGACGGCCGAGCCATTCCTATTCAACCTCTGTGAGCGTGATTTGTCCACACATGTAGTCTCCTGGCTGACATTCCCATAGCCACGCTGTATGAGCTGCGTTCGGCCGCCGGCGCGGACAAGAAACGCGAACTCCTGGTCGAAGTCGCGAAGTGGGCCGGGGACGGCCTTCGCACGACTTGCCTCAAGCTGCCTACCACGTAGCACCGAATCCTCCTTGAGCTCACACCATACTTGACAGCTGTAGCGATGCAATACGCATGTTGCATAAACGAACGTGGGACACGGACATACGCCAAGGATTAGGGTGCGGGCGATCGTGGCTAGTAGTGTATCTCGTCGATTACTGTCTGTCGGCTGGTCCATATCCCACACCTTCCCGGGCGCCCTGATCGTCGTGGTGGTCGCCTACACGCCTTCAAACCGCGGATTGACGGGTCATAACATAGAGCTGTAGGTCTTGCCAGCCTGTGAACAACTCATGAGCGCCCTTCTCTATAAAAAATGGATACCACGAAGCGAAAACCCACCACCGCCAACACGGCACATCACCTTCTTGGACGTGCCCTTCCCGCCGGAGCGCGTCATGGTCGTCAACTTGCATGTCACTACCTTGCGCCCGAGCATGTTCGAGAACGCGTATTGCGCGCGCAGCTCCTCGCCCTCCTTCGGCGCACTCCGCAGCGGTGGGTCGACGCGCTCCACAAGCAACCCATGCGGTATCGAGTTCACGATCGCGGCGACCTCGACGTCGAGCGGGTCGCGCGTGCTCGCAGGCGTGTAGGTGTGTAGCGGGGCATCGTAGGGGCCGTCGCGGGTGGGCGTCGCGGCGCCCGCGCGCGACGCAGGCCGTGAGCCTGGGGTACGCGGGGACGCGCCGTCGCGGAAGCTGGATGGGGGGAGGCGCATCTGCGAGCCGCGGGGAGTCATGCGTAGCGCGTTCTCGGGGGTCTGGGCGCGCTGGGCGTAGCCGTTGAAGGACATTGCGCTGTCCGGGCGGTAGGACATCGCGGTGTTGGGCCGCGAGGCGGAGGAGACGTGCACGCTGGGGATGGGGATCATTGAGCGGCTAGGGGGCCGCACCGGTATGCCCGTGACGGACTGCGTGGGGGACAGAGCGCGCGAAGGGGAGAATGCGCGCTGCATGTACGACGTAGGGCTTACGTCGCCCGCCGCGGACATGGAGCGGAAATGGCTTTTCGACGGCGCGGGGATGTGACTCGGCGTCTTCGGGCGCGTCCGCGGAGAGACCGCTGCGGATGAAATGGCGGAAGGGAGTCCTGGAGTATAGGAACGTGATGGCGGCCGATATAAGGAGAAGGGTGTGGTGGAAGACTGTGCGGTGGAGACAGAGGAAGTTACAGGGGACCACGGACGCGAGGACGCCATGGAGCTGCGCGATAGACTTCGCTTATACAAGGGTGGAACAGGGGGTATATCATCAGAGGAAGAGTGCGCGAAGCCAGCGACGGATGGGCTCCGTGATGACTTCTTGATAGTACCCGTTCGGTCTTCGGTCTGGACCTTTGTCGAGCTATTCCACGCTCTTTCTCGGGACTTCAGCGTTGGGTTTGAGTCGTATCTCCTTGAAGCTGGAGACGACTCCGGAGTGACACTGTTACTGTACTTGTGAGAGGGACGCTCGGGGGTAGTCGGCGTTGGGGGTTGTCCGCCATTGAGGAAGTTGAACATCGATGTCCTATGGCGAAGGGTACGCGGTGGCTCTGAGGAAGGTGTTCGTGTTGGAGCAGGATTCCTTGCAGGCACAGGAGTCGCTTTGCCTGGTAAAGGAGACTTGGCACCCGACCCGGCTGCCCTGAGCTTACGGGCGATCTTGCGGAACGGAGATATCGACCTCGATAGCGTGTTGGCAGTGCTAGGAGATCGCCCTTTAGACTTCCCACCGCTAGGCGGGGTTGCGAGATACCCATTCTTGGACATAGTGGTCTGCCCCGACTGACTCGAGCCACCTTCGCTTATGGCGGAATCGCCCTGCAAGAACACGCGCCGCAAGTTCTCCATGTCAGTGTCTGTTCTTGATATGCGCTCTTTGAGGTTGCGCCAACGCTGAGTGCACTCTGCGTGTCGCCGTAGGCATTCACCGTTCTTCGTCACGCGATCCTGCACGCCCTTGTCGATGATTGACAAAACTTTGGTGGTGGCTGGCATATAGTGCCTGAGAAGTTGTCAGTTCGACTGTGCCAATTTGCCTGAGCAAGATCAACGCGTACTTCTTCTTGGCCTCATAGGAATCGACGATGGTATTGAAAACATCAAGCGTAAGAGGCTTGTCCGAACGGCCCGAAGACGATGAATTGGAAGCCGTGAGCGAATCGTCCAGCCCTCGTTTTTGCACCTGCCAGAGGAAGTCCTGCATGGGATGTCAGTGACCGAACGGATGACCCGCATACATGCAACCGGTCCGCGTCCGTACCTGACATCGATTGACGGCTTTCTCCAGGCTGGACATCATACCGTCTGCTTGCTCCGTCACGGTGCGGAATACGGTCAACCACTTGTCTTCCTTCAGCTCCTCCCGCAGCACCTGAGATTCCTTCTGCACGGCGTCCCATTCGATCATGAGGTCCGCATGTTTGCGCAGCAGACCTGCCTCTTCGCCGGATGTGAATGCTACGGATATCGGCGTCTTCTCGGCGCGTTTCAGCAGCGGTTCAAGGGATTCATTTACCGTCTTGACGCCCTTCGAAACGGATTCTATCCGCTCGTCCAGGCTGATGAGAGACGTATCGATGGTGCTGGAGGCGTTGCTTGAGTCGCCTGCAGACTGCGACTTGTGCCGTAATTCCTGGATTTCTGGACGCGCCACGCGGTCGAGGCGTATTCATCGAGGGAAGATAGGCGACGGGCTTACCGAAAATGCGCGTCTGAATATCCGAGATGGCGTACGAAAGCTCCGTCATATGGGTTGAGACGGCGAGGAGGCGGATATCCCTGCACGCTGATCAGCGCCGCGGACAGCGCGAGGCGCAGAATAGGACGTACTCTTGGCTCCTTCCCTTCCCATTGGACATGTTAGATATGAGAGATACGCGGTTGACGGTGACCGTGGCGTCCTCT